TTCTTGCAATTTTGCACGCGCTAGACCGTTGTTCTTGCTATTTTGCACACGCTAGACCCCTGTTCTTGCAATTTTGCACATGCTATGCCCTTGTTCTTGCTATTTTGCACACGCTAGGCCCTTGTTCTTGCAATTTTACACACGCTAGGCCCTTGTTCTTGCACTTTTGCACACGCTAGGCCCTTGTTTTTGCAATTTTGCACACGCTAGGCCATTGTTCTTGCAAGTTTGCACACGCTAGGCCCTTCTTCTTGCTATTTTGCACACGCTAGACCCTTGTTCTTGCAATTTTGCACACGCTAGGCCCTTGTTCTTGCAATTTTGCACACGCTAGGCCCTTGTTCTTGCTATTTTGCCCACGCTAGACCCTTGTTCCTGCAATTTTGCACGCACTATGCCCTTGTTCTTGCAATTTTGCACACGCAAGACCCTTGTTCTTGCAATTTTGCACACGCTAGGCCCTTGTTCTTGCAATTTTGCACACGCTAGGCACTTGTTTTTGCTATTTTGCACACGCTAGACCCTTGTTCTTGCAATTCTGCACACGCTATGCCCTTGTTCTTGCTATTTTGCACACGCAAGATCCTTGTTTTTGCAATTTTGCACACGCTAGGCCCTTGTTCTTGCAATTTTGCAAACGCTAGGCCCTTGTTCTTGCAATTTTGCACACGCTAGGCCCTTGTTCTTGCAATTTTGCACACGCTAGGCCCTTGTTCTTGCTATTTTGCACACGCTAGGCCCTTGTTCTTGCAATTTTGCACACGCTAGGCCCTTGTTCTTGCTATTTTGCACACGCTAGAGCCTTGTTCTTGCAATTTTGCACACGCTAGGCCCTTGTTCTTGCTATTTTGCACACGCTAGACCCTTGTTCTTGCAATTTTGCACTTGCTAGGCCCTTGTTCTAGCAATTTTGCACACGCTAGGCCCTTGTTCTTGCTATTTTGCACACGATAGACCCTTGTTCTTGCAATTTTGCACATGCTAGGCCCTTGTTCTTGCAATTTTGCACAAGCTAGGCCCTTGTTCTTGCAATTCTGCACACGGTAGACCCTTGTTCTTGCAATTTTGCACACGCTAGGCCCTTGTTCTTGCTAGTTTGCACACAATAGACCCTTGTTCTTGCAATTTTGCACACGCTAGGCCCTTGTTCTTGCTATTTTGCACACGCTAGACCCTTGTTCTTGCAATTTTGCACACGCTAGGCCCTTGTTCTTTTTATTTTGCACACGCTAGACCCTTGTTCTTGCAATTTTGCACTTGCTAGGTCCTTGTTCTTGCAATTTTGCACACGCTAGGCTCTTGTTCTTGCTATTTTGCACACGCTAGCCCCTTTTTCTTGCTATTTTGCACACGCTAGGCCCTTGTTTTTGCAATTTTGCACACGCTAGGCCCTTGTTCCTTTTATTTTGCACACGCTATGCCCTTGTTCTTTTTATTTTGCACATGCTAGGCCCTTGTTCTTTTTATTTTGCACACGCTAGGCCCTTGTTCTTGCAATTTTGCACACGCTAGGCCCTTGTTCTTTTTATTTTTCACACGCTAGGCCCTTGTTCTTTTTATTTTGCACACGCTATGCCCTTGTTCTTTATATTTTGCACACGCTAGGCCCTTGTTCTTGCAATTTTGCACATGCTAGACCCTTGTTCTTTTTATTTTGCACACGCTAGGCCCTTGTCTTGCTATTTCGCGAACGCTAGGCCCTTGTTCTTGATTTTTTGCACACACTAGGCCCTTGCTCTTGCTATTTTGCACACGCTAGGCCCTTGTTCTTTTTATTTTGCACACGCTAGGCCCTTGTTCTTGCTTTTTTGCACACACTATGCCGTTGTTCTTTTTTTTTTGCACACGCTAGGCCCTTGTTCTTGCAATTTTGCACATGCTAGACCCTTATTCTTTTTATTTTGCACACGTTAGGCCCTTGCTCTTGCTATTTTGCACTCGCTAGGCCCTTGTTCTTGCAAATTTGCATACGCTAGGCCCTTGTTTTTGCAATTTTGCACACGCTAGGCCCTTGTTCTTTTTATTTTGCACACGCTATGCCCTTGTTCTTTTTATTTTGCACACGCTAGGCCCTTGTTCTTTTTATTTTGCACACGCTATGCCCTTGTTCTTGCTATTTTGCACACGCTATGCCCTTATTCTTTTTATTTTGCACACGCTAGGCCCTTGTTCTTGATTTTCTGCACACGCTAGGCCCTTGCTCTTGCTATTTTGCACTCGCTAGGCCCTTGTTCTTGCAATTTTGCACACGCTAGGCCCTTGTTCTTGCAATTTTGCACACGCTAGGCCCTTATTCTTTTCATTTTGCACACGCTAGGCCCTTGTTCTTTTTATTTTGCACACGCTAGGCCCTTGTTCTTGCTATTTTGCACACGCTATGCCCTTGTTCTTTTTATTTTGCACACGCTAGGCCCTTGTTCTTGCAATTTTGCACATGCTAGACCATTGTTCTCTTTATTTTGCAGACGCTAGGCCCTTGTTCTTGCTATTTCGCGAACGCTAGGCCCTTGTTCTTGAATTTTTGCACACACTAGGCCCTTGCTCTTGCTATTTTGCACTCGCTAGGCCCTTGTTCTTGCAATTTTGCACACGCTAGACGCTTGTTCTTTTTATTTTGCACACGCTAGGCCCTTGTTCTTGCAATTTTGCACATGCTAGACCCTTGTTCTTTTTATTTTGCACATGCAAGTCCCTTGCTCTTGCTATTTCGCGAATGCTAGGCCCTTGTTCTTGATTTTTTGCACACGCTAGGCCCTTGCTCTTGCTATTTTGCACCCGCTAGGCCCTTGTTCTTGCTATTTCGCGAACGCTAAGCCCTTGTTCTTGCTATTTCGCGAACGCTAGGCCCTTGTTCTTTTTATTTTGCACACGCTAGGCCCTTGTTCTTGCTATTTTGCACACGCTATGTTCTTGTTCTTTTTATTTTGCACACGCTAGGCCCTTGTTCTTGCAATTTTGCACATGCTAGGCCCTTGTTCTTGCTATTTCGCGAACGCTAGGCCCTTGTTCTTGATTTTTTGCACACGCTAGGCCCTTGCTCTTGCTATTTTGCACTCGCTAGGCCCTTGTTCTTGCAATTTTGCACACGCTAGGCCCTTGTTCTTGCAATTTTGCACACGCTAGGCCCTTGTTCTTTTCATTTTGCACACGCTAGGCCCTTGTTCTTTTTATTTTGCACACGCTATGCCCTTGTTCTTGCTATTTTGCACACGCTATGCCCTTGTTCTTTTTATTTTGCACACGCTAGGCCCTTGTTCTTGCAATTTTGCACATGCTAGACCATTGTTCTCTTTATTTTGCAGACGCTAGGCCCTTGTTCTTGCTATTTCGCGAACGCTAGGCCCTTGTTCATTGAATTTTTGCACACACTAGGCCCTTGTTCTTGCTATTTTGCACTCGCTAGGCCCTTGTTATTGCAATTTTGCACACGCTAGGCCGTTGTTCTTGCAATTTTGCACACGCTAGGCCCTTGTTCTTTTTATTTTGCACACGCTAGGCCCTTGTTTTTGCTATTTTGCACACGTTATGCCTTGTTCTTGCAATTTTGCACACGCTAGGCCCTTGTTCTTGCAATTTTGCACATGCTAGACCCTTGTTCTTTTTATTTTGCACACGCTAGGCCCTTGCTCTTGCTATTTCGCGAATGCTAGGCCCTTGTTCTTGATTTTTTGCACACGCTAGGCCCTTGCTCTTGCTATTTTGCACTCGCTAGGCCCTTGTTCTTGCAATTTTGCACACACTAGGCCCTTGTTCTAGCAATTTTGCACACCCTAGTCCCTTGTTCTTTTTATTTTGCACACGCTAGGCCCTTGTTCTTTTTTTTTTGCATACGCTAGGCCCTTGTTCTTTTTATTTTGCATACGCTAGGCCCTTGTTCTTTTTATTTTGCACACGCTAGGCCCTTGTTCTTGCTATTTTGCACACACTATGCCCTTGTTCTTTTTATTTTGCACACGCTAGGCCCTTGTTCTTTTTATTTTGCACACGCTAGGCCCTTGTTCTTTTAATTTTGCACGCGCTAGGCCCTTGTTCTTTTTATTTTGCATACGCTAGGCCCTTGTTCTTTTTATTTTGCATACGCTAGGCCCTTGTTCTTTTTATTTTGCACACGCTAGGCCGTTGCTCTTGCAATTTTGCACACGCTAGGCCCTTGTTCTTGCAATTTTGCACACGCTAGGCCCTTGTTCTTTCAATTTTGCACACGCTAGGCCCTTGATCTTTTTATTTTGCACACGCTAGGCCATTGTTCTTTTTATTTTGCACACGCTAGCCCCTTGTTCTTGCTATTTTGCACACGCTATGCCCTTGTTCTTTTTATTTTGCACACGCTAGGCCCTTGTTCTTGCAATTTTGCACATGCTAGACCCTTGTTCTTGCAATTCTGCACACGCTTGGCCCTTGTTCTTTTTATTTTGCACACGCTAGGCCCTTGTTTTTGCACTTTTGCACACGCTAGGCCCTTGTTCTTTTTATTTTGCACACGCTAGGCCCTTGTTCATGCTATTTTGCACACCCTATGCCCTTGTTCTTTTTATTTTGCACACGCTAGGCCCTGTGAAAATGTGTAAGCAGGAATGAGAATGACTAAGTCAGAGTTGGGTACAAATACAACCCTAGAAAACTGTACCCCATATGTGCTACCCCACTATAGCCTACAAACATGCATCAGCTATGATAATCTGACACACCCCCATAGGCAAAGTGGGGGAGAACAAGGGGTCACAAGACCAGTCAAGCAAAGCAAAGCAAGCTCAGGGTGGATCACAAAGTCACCACACAGTCCGAGCACAAGAGCAGGGCCAGAGGCCAGTTCACATGCAGGAGTACAGACATATATATAAAACTAGACAAGCAAGAGCAGGTATATATATATGTCACAGTACAAGTAAAGTCAAGAGGAGAGCAAGTGAGGCAAGACAGGCACAAGACCCAGCTGGGTGCAAAAGCGCTGATGGTCACAAGGCGCGAGTGCCTTGGTGAACACATCAGCAGTGTTGGCCTCAGAGGCCACCGTACGCAAGTCGCAACTGACCACGCTGCTGCAGCTCACGAGCAAGAAAGTAGCGGAGAGCAATGTGCTTCGTTCTGTGCTCCAAGCGCTGCTCTCGACACAAGGCCAGCATAGCCTTGTTGTCTACGTACAGCACTGGAGGAGAACGAGGCGGCTCTCCAAGGTCAGTCAGCAGGTAGGTGAGCCAGCGAAGCTCCTGTGCAGCCATGGCCCCGGCGTAGATCTCAGCCTCACAACTGGAGCCGAGAACTGAAGACGAGCGAGTAGACCGCCACGAGACAGAGCCGGAACCAAGGCTGAAGGTGTAGCCCTGTGACGACCGCTGCGTAGCCTGGTCGTCAGCCCAAGAAGCGTCCGCGTGGCCGGTAAGGACCACTGGACTCCGCCCTCCAAGCACTAGCCCCATGCCCGACGTACTGCACAGGTAGCGCAATACCCTCTTCGCTGCAGCCATGTGCTCCGGTCTGTGTCTCCCAGGAGCAACATAGCGTGCAAGAATGCTCAGAGGGTATGCAAGGTCAGGTCGTGTGCAGGTCATCAGGTACATGAGGCAGCCAACAAGCTCTGCATACGGACCACTCGACTCTACGGACTCATCCGAAGGCAGAGCTGAGAGTGAGTGGCGAGTAGGCAGAGGAGTGGCCTGAGGCGAGGAGTACGTGAAGCCGAAGCGCTGAAGGACCTGCTGCACCATGTGTGACTGAGTCAAGGTAATGGTGCGGCGTGCTCTGTCCCGAGTGATCTGCAAGCCAAGGTAGCTGCGCAGTTCACCCAGGTCTGTGCACGTGTGTCTCTTCAGCAGCTCGGACTTCACGTAGGCGAGTCCAGCAGTGTCCGCTGTGGCAAAGACCAAGTCGTCGACGTACACGAGGATGTAGAACGGCGGCAGGGAAGTGTCGGTGCGAAGAAACAGCGACGGGTCAGCAGTAGAAGGAGCAAACCCAAGAGCCGCAAGCGTAGTCCTCAGTGTGTCGTGCCACTCACGCGGTGCCTGGCGGAGACCGTAGACTGGCCGTCGGAGGCTCCACTGGGTGCCAGGAGGGAAAGTCCCAGTGAAGCCAGGTGGACGGCGAAGCCAGATCTCCTCGTGCAGGCTACCCTGCAGGAACGCAGTGCTGAAGTCGAGAGAGTGAAGCTCGTAGTCGCACTGAGCGGCTATGTGCAGCAGCACCCGAAGAGTGGTCATCTTCGGGGTGGGAGAGAAGGTCTGAAAGTAGTCGACTCCCTGCCGCTGACTGAAGCCACGAGCAACGTACCGTGCCTTGAAGACAGGTGGAGAGCCCGGCGGCCGCTTCACCCTGAAGATCCACATGCCACTGACGATGTTCGCCCCAGGAGGGGGAACCGCGTCAACGTAGGTGCCTGTGGACTTCCAGGAAGCCATCTCTGCATCCATAGCTGCCTGCCACTGAGAGGAGTAGGGACCCTCTACGGCCTCCGCGTAAGAACGCGGAGTCGGGATGTCTAGTGCATCCGGGTCTCCCTCAGGGGCAAGCAGTACAGACGCGAGATGAGGTGAAGCAGCCGCTAGACACTGTAACTCCTCCTGCCTGTCCTCTAGGACGTCCGTGCCAAGAGCACACTCACCCCCTGACGGACGGAGGACAGACAGACTCAGCAACAAGACTAGCAGCGTAGTCGAGACGACAGCGGGCAGCAAAGTCAACGAGCTCAGCGACTAGAGCAGACGCAGCAGTGGACTCAAAAGAGGGGTCAGTGACGACAGTAGCAAGCAGACGCGTGACTAGTAGGACTCGCAGCGCGAAGAGAGTCCGACTCAGGGTCGGCAAGCGCAGGAAGAGAGGACTCAGGAGGAGAAGGCAAAGGGGCACGCAGAGGAGCAGTGGACGGACGCAGAGACATCCGGTGCGTGCCAGGGACAGGAGGAGGACGCTGACGCGAACTGCGACCACTAGCGCGAGCAGCACGAACAGGCGACGCGGGACGAGACGCAGGCTCACGACGCTCAGCAAGACCTCCAGTAGGACCAGTGTAAGGAGAGGGAGCAGGCAGTGGAGAGGAAGGCTCCAGTAGGGACTGCGACTGGACAGGCGGTGGACCCTCTACTGGAGGAGAAAGACCAAGAACCTGCTGCAGGAGCGGAACGAAGTACGGCCGAGGCCGCGCGGCAGCTCCAGACTCAGCAGGGACAGCACCAGCACCCTCAGCTACAGCACCAGCGCCACCCACACCTCCAGCGGCAGGACCAACAGCAGCAGGCTCAGCACGAACGCCCTCAGCAGCTCCAGCTCCAGGAGGACCCGCAGGTCCAGCAGCTCCGGGACCGGCAGCACCCGCACCCTCGACGGTCGAAGAAGCTCCAGCTCCAGCACCAGCAGCACCTCCAGACTCAGCAGCACGCCTCCAGCGGCGAGCGAACCACTCGCGCAGCTCCTGTGGAGAGAGGGGCTCCCGGCGAGACGCAGCAGCAGGAGAAACCCCAGGCTCAGTAGCTCCAGACGCAGCACCCAGGCTCAGCAGCTCCCAGCTCAGCACCCCCAGGCTCAGCAGCTCCCGACCCAGCACCCCCAGACCCAGCACCTCCAGGCACAGCACCCCCCGGCTCAGCACCCCCAGGCTCCGCACCCTCAGGAGTAGCACCCTCAGGCCCAGCACCCCCAGCAGTAGCACCCCCAGGCTCAGCACCCCCGCGCACAGCACCCCCAGAGTCAGCACCCCCAGGCTCAGCACCCGCAGCAGCACCAGAGTCACCAGTAACCTCGACCGGGTCAACGGCGTCTACCTGGGACACACCTGAGGGGGCAGGAACCTGAGGGGGGAGGGGGTCTACCGGGGGGGGAACCGGCACAAGGAAGTCCGGGGGAGGGGGGAGGGAAGGAGTGCGGTAGGGGAAGAGACGGTAGAAGGGGACTGACTCGTCGAACGTGACGTCCTGGGAGGACAGAACACGACGAGAGGAGGGGTGGTAAAACTGCCACCCTGGGGCGTCAGTGGGGAAGCCAAGGAAGACACAGGGAGCAGCACGAGGGGACAGCTTGTCCGCAGACAAGTCGCGGACAAACGCCCGAGATCCCCAGACACGGAACACAGACGCATCGCCAACCTTCCCCGTCCACAGCAAGACTGGGGACATCGCAGGCCGAGAGACCCGGGGGTGAAGGTTGAGCTGATGCGCCGCGTACCTCACCGCAAACGGCCACAGAAAATGGGGGGCAGCCGCATGCATCATGGACGTACGAGCGACATCCATGACCATGCCAATGCGGCGCTCAGCAATCCCATTTTGCTGTGGTGAGTCCGGAAGGGTGAAGGTCTGGCGGATCCCCCGTGCACGACAGTAGTCCCGCAGAAGGCGAGAAGAGAACTCTCCGCCTCTGTCAGAGTGCAGACGCAGAACAGGAAAGTCCGAGCCGAAGCTCTTCCTGAGCTGGAGACAAGCCTCGCGGATCCAGTCGATCAGCACCTCAGTGACCGCACCCTTGCTGCGCAAGGGGAGGACTGTGGTGTAACGCGAGTAGTCGTCAACCACCAACAGGAAGTAGCGCTCGTAACCCTGCCCACGGACGGGGGCTGGGCCCCACACATCCATGTGAAGCGTCTGCAAGGGAGCCTCTGTCGGGGGGAAGTGGGAGGAGTGAGGAGTAGCCCGGAGGCGACCCTCGACACAGGGGACACAGGAAGGTCCTGGCCCGGAGGGGAGAGGAGGGAGAGACTGGGGAAGACCAGAGACAAGGACACGGGAAGCCATGCTCCGAAGACGGGGCAAGGAGGGGTGGCCAAGACGGTGGTGCCACAGGAGAGTCTCGTGAGACAGGAGGCGACAAGAACAGGGGGCAGACTCAGGACCTGACCGGGACGCAGCAGCAAGTACCTGACCCGACGCAGCCACCTGACCAGACGCAGGGACAGGAGGAGACTCAACGGTCAGGGTGTAGAGACTCGACCCCGGCCGACGCGAGAACGTGGCCAGGTGTCGGCCTGTGCGTGCCTCCGTGCAGTGGGTCACCCGCTGACTCGCAGGAGTGAACTGGTGAACACCCCCATCCTGCAGGTCCGCTCCACTCACCAAGTTCGTGGAGAACGAGGGAAGGTACAGACCCGACAGGGTGCCCGAAGGGGCAGCCGGACACGGGAGGACAGTGGAGAAGTGAGACAGGACAGGACCTCCAGAGGGGTCAGCAAGGGAGACTGCAACCAGGCCGGCCGAGCGGCGTAAGGGTAGTGCGGTCGCGAAAGAAGGAGCGAGAAGCTCCGGAGTCAAGTGTGAAAGTGAGGGAGGACGAGGACGACGCAGTACCTGAGAGCGCAGTCTCACCAGTACCTGAGAGCGCAGACGCACTGGCACCTAGAGCAGCAGCCTCACAAGCACCTAGCGCAGCAGTACCAATGCCCGGGTCGGGCCGGAAACAACGGTAACCCTCATTCTCCTCACTATAATCCACAACATACATAGCAGTAAGGATAGCATCAAAATCAAGATCAAAGATCGCTACACCAGCCCTGAGAAGCTCATCCCAGCGAGGGATCTCACTAGCCCCAGGGAACTGCTGACGCCAGGCGTCCGTCAGGCGGCCAAAGCAGCGCTGGGTGGCGTGGGCACCCCCACACTGCTCACCCGCGCGGTCGCCGGAACGAAGAACGTAGGTGCAGGGACCAGTACCCCCACCCCTCTGACGCCCAGCGTACCACTCACGAAGCTGCTGAGGCAAAGGGATGTCCCGCGAGCGCTGCTGCTGCTGCCGGTGCGAGCGCTGGCCACCACCACCACCGCTACGCTGCTGGGTACCACCCCGACCAGCTCCACCTCCTCCACCACCACTGCCTCCTCCGCTGCCGCCTCCACCGCCTCCACCTCCGCCGCCTCCACCTCCGCCGCTGCCTCCACCACCACCGCTGGCTCCACCACCACCGTCTCCGCCGCTGCCGCCACCACCACCACCACCACCTCCGCCACTAGTCCCGCCGCCACCCCCACTCCCTCCGCCGCCACCGCCGCCACCGCCACCGCCCCCTCCAGCTCCACCCGCGCCCTTGCCCCCCTTGCCCTTGCTTGAGCGACGTCTCCCACTAGGGGCAGACGCCGCGCCGACCGACTCAAGACCAAGCAGGTCGGCAGCAGCAGCAGAGGCAACAGAGGGCAGCAAGGGGGAAGGAGAGCACCCCTCAAAGATGGGGGTGCGAGGGTCACCACGAGAAGCACCTACAGCGACTATGCTCTTCTCCGCTGCAAGGAGGGACTTCTCGAGGAGGTCGACGGTGAGGGTGGTGGGACAGACTGCGAGAAAGTGGTCCCTGACTACGCGAAGGGAGTCAGGGAGGCGCGCGACTACGTAGTAGAGAGCGATGTACATGGGGGGGGGGGTTCTTAGCGCAGAACTCAGCAGGAAGGGCGGCGCGGTAGCGAGTGTCACTAGTGCGGAGGTGCGTAATGAGGTCAGCGACAGTGGGAAAGGCAGAGAGGTCAGGAAAGAGGTAGGGAAGCATGAGACGGCTGAGTGCAGCAGTGGCAGGGGAGGAGTAGCGCGCAACTACAGCGTCGTACAAGGTCTGAGCACTCTTGTACTGACTAAAGTGCGCACGCTCAGAGGTAGGGAGGTGGCGACGCACAGCAAGACGTGCAGCAGCATCGCGGGTGGCCCACTTAGAGCGGACAGCGGGATCAGCATCAGCAGCAGGAGCAGGAGAGGCGCCAGAGGTGAGGTCAAAGAGAGAAAGGTCGTCAGCCCTGTCGCACTGTAAGTACAGCTGCAGGTCGTCTAACCAGACCTCAAAATCAATGGCGCGACCCTCAGCGTCAAAAGCTAGGACACTAGGGGTAGCCATGGCGACGACAGCGACGCAGTGCAAGCAGTAGGGAAAGAGCTCGCAGTGGCAGTGGGACTGTGCTCACCAGGCAGGGCAGGTCGAGTAGGGATGCAGAAAGGCGGCTCAGCGACCTGGCGGTTGGGTGCTGGGCGGCTCGGGCGCAGGGCGGCTCGGCTCCCGGGCGGCTCGGCGGCAGGGCAGCTCGGGGGCAGGGCGACTCGGCTCCCGGGCGGCTCGGCGACAGGGCGGCTCGGGTGCAGGGCGGCTCGGCTCCCGGGCGGCTCGGCTGCAGGGCGGCTCGGCTCCCGGTAGTAGGGGGGGGGGGGCCGCGGTCGAGCAGGCGGCCGGGGCCGCGGTAGTAGCTGGCGGCGAGGCCGTGCGAGCAGGCAGCCGGGGCCGCGACAGGAGCGGGCGGCGGGGCCGCGGTCGAACAGGCGGCTGGGGCCGCGGTCGTAGCAGGCGGCCGAGGCCGCGATCGTAGTGGGCGGCGGCCGCGGCGTAGCGGGCGGCAGGGCCGCGTCGAGCAGGCGGCTGGGGGCTGCGTCGAGCAGGCGGCTGGGGGCCGCGACAGGAGCGGGCGGCGGGGCCGCGGTCGAACAGGCGGCTGGGGCCGCGGTCGTAGCAGGCGGCCGGGGCCGCGGTCGTAGCAGGCGGCGGCCGCGGCGTAGCGGGCGGCAGGGCCGCGTCAAGCAGGCGGCTGGGGGCCGCGTCGAGCAGGCGGCTGGGGGGGGGGCCGCGACAGGAGCGGGCGGCGGGGCCGCGGTCGAACAGGCGGCTGGGGGCCGCGGTCGTAGCAGGCGGCCGGGGCCGCGGTCGTAGCAGGCGGCGGCCGCGGCGTAGCGGGCGGCAGGGCCGCGTCGAGCAGGCGGCTGGGGGCCGCGTCGAGCAGGCGGCTGGGGGCCGCGTCGAGCAGGCGGCTGGAGCCGCGATCGTAGCGGGCGGCTGGGGCCGCGACTTAGCGGGAGGGAGGCGACACGGAGGGTCGCTCGATAGCGGAAAAAAAAAGGTTGAGCGCGCCTCGGGGCGCGCTTCGGTGGGCCCTAGGCAGAGTTCCACAGGGAACCCGCTCTATACCATGTGAAAATGTGTAAGCAGGAATGAGAATGACTAAGTCAGAGTTGGGTACAAATACAACCCTAGAAAACTGTACCCCATATGTGCTACCCCACTATAGCCTACAAACATGCATCAGCTATGATAATCTGACAGGCCCTTGTTGTTGCAATTTTGCACATGCTAGACCCTTGTTCTTTTTATTTTGCACACGCTAGGCGCTTGTTCTTTTTAGTTTGCACACGCTAGGCCCTTGTTCTTTTATTTTGCACACGCTAGGCCCTTGTTCTTTTTATTTTGCATACGCTAGGCTTTTGTTCTTTTTATTTTGCATACGCTAGGCCCTTGTTCTTTTTATTTTGCACACGCTAGGCCCTTGTTCTTTTTTTTTTGCACACGCTAGGCCCTTGTTCTTGCTATTTTGCACACGCTATGCCCTTGTTCTTTTTATTTTGCACACGCTAGGCCCTTGTTCTTGCAATTTTGCACATGCTAGACCCTTGTTCTTTTTTTTTTTGCACAAGCTAGGCCCTTGTTCTTTTTATTTTGCATACACTAGGCCCTTGTTCTTTTTATTTAGCACACGCTAGGCCCTTGTTCTTTTTATTTTGCATACGCTAGGCCCTTGTTCTTTTTATTTTGCACACGCTAGGCCCTTGTTCTTGCAATTTTGCACACGCTAGGCCCTTGTTCTTTCAATTTTGCACACGCTAGGCCCTTGTTCTTTTTATTTTACACACGCTAAGCCCTTGTTCTTGCTATTTTGCACACGCCATGCCCTTGTTCTTTTTATTTTGCACACGCTAGGCCCTTGTTCTTTTTATTTTGCACACGCTAGGCCCTTGTTTTTGCACTTTTGCACACGCTAGGCCCTTGTTCTTTTTATTTTGCACACGCTAGGCCCCTGTTCTTGCTATTTTGCACACCCTATGCCCTTGTTCTTTTTATTTTGCACACGCTAGGCGCTTGTTCTTTTTAGTTTGCACACGCTAGGCCCTTGTTCTTGCAATTTTGCACACGCTAGGCCCTTGTTCTTTTCATTTTGCACACGCTAGGCCCTTGTTCTTTTTATTTTGCACACGCTAGGCCCTTGTTCTTGCTATTTTGCACACGCTATGCCCTTGTTCTTTTTATTTTGCACACGCTAGGCCCTTGTTCTTGCAATTTTGCACATGCTAGACCATTGTTCTCTTTATTTTGCAGACGCTAGGCCCTTGTTCTTGCTATTTCGCGAACGCTAGGCCCTTGTTCTTGAATTTTTGCACACACTAGGCCCTTGCTCTTGCTATTTTGCACTCGCTAGGCCCTTGTTCTTGCAATTTTGCACACGCTAGACCCTTGTTCTTTTTATTTTGCACACGCTAGGCCCTTGTTCTTTTTATTTTGCACGCGCTAGGCCCTTGTGTTTGCTATTTTGCACACGCTATGCCCTTGTTCTTGCAATTTTGCACACGCTAGGCCCTTGTTCTTGCAATTTTGCACATGCTAGACCCTTGTTCTTTTTATTTTGCACATGCAAGTCCCTTGCTCTTGCTATTTCGCGAATGCTAGGCCCTTGTTCTTGATTTTTTGCACACGCTAGGCCCTTGCTCTTGCTATTTTGCACCCGCTAGGCCCTTGTTCTTGCTATTTCGCGAACGCTAGGCCCTTGTTCTTGCTATTTCGCGAACGCTAGGCCCTTGTTCTTTTTATTTTGCACACGCTAGGCCCTTGTTCTTGCTATTTTGCACACGCTATGTTCTTGTTCTTTTTATTTTGCACACGCTAGGCCCTTGTTCTTGCAATTTTGCACATGCTAGGCCCTTGTTCTTGCTATTTCGCGAACGCTAGGCCCTTGTTCTTGATTTTTTGCACACGCTAGGCCCTTGCCCTTGCTATTTTGCACTCGCTAGGCCCTTGTTCTTGCAATTTTGCACACGCTAGGCCCTTGTTCTTGCAATTTTGCACACGCTAGGCCCTTGTTCTTTTCATTTTGCACACGCTAGGCCCTTGTTCTTTTTATTTTGCACACGCTATGCCCTTGTTCTTGCTATTTTGCACACGCTATGCCCTTGTTCTTTTTATTTTGCACACGCTAGGCCCTTGTTCTTGCAATTTTGCACATGCTAGACCATTGTTCTCTTTATTTTGCAGACGCTAGGCCCTTGTTCTTGCTATTTCGCGAACGCTAGGCCCTTGTTCTTGAATTTTTGCACACACTAGGCCCTTGTTCTTGCTATTTTGCACTCGCTAGGCCCTTGTTCTTGCAATTTTGCACACGCTAGGCCGTTGTTCTTGCAATTTTGCACACGCTAGGCCCTTGTTCTTTTTATTTTGCACACGCTAGGCCCTTGTTTTTGCTATTTTGCACACGCTATGCCCTTGTTCTTGCAATTTTGCACACGCTAGGCCCTTGTTCTTGCAATTTTGCACATGCTAGACCCTTGTTCTTTTTATTTTGCACACGCTAGGCCCTTGCTCTTGCTATTTCGCGAATGCTAGGCCCTTGTTCTTGATTTTTTGCACACGCTAGGCCCTTGCTCTTGCTATTTTGCACTCGCTAGGCCCTTGTTCTTGCAATTTTGCACACACTAGGCCCTTGTTCTAGCAATTTTGCACACCCTAGTCCCTTGTTCTTTTTATTTTGCACACGCTAGGCCCTTGTTCTTTTTATTTTGCATACGCTAGGCCCTTGTTCTTTTTATTTTGCATACGCTAGGCCCTTGTTCTTTTTATTTTGCACACGCTAGGCCCTTGTTCTTGCTATTTTGCACACACTATGCCCTTGTTCTTTTTATTTTGCACACGCTAGGCCCTTGTTCTTTTTATTTTGCACACGCTAGGCCCTTGTTCTTTTAATTTTGCACACGCTAGGCCCTTGTTCTTTTTATTTTGCATACGCTAGGCCCTTGTTCTTTTTATTTTGCATATGCTAGGCCCTTGTTCTTTTTATTTTGCACACGCTAGGCCGTTGCTCTTGCAATTTTGCACACGCTAGGCCCTTGTTCTTGCAATTTTGCACACGCTAGGCCCTTGTTCTTTCAATTTTGCACACGCTAGGCCCTTGATCTTTTTATTTTGCACACGCTAGGCCATTGTTCTTTTTATTTTGCACACGCTAGCCCCTTGTTCTTGCTATTTTGCACACGCTATGCCCTTGTTCTTTTTATTTTGCACACGCTAGGCCCTTGTTCTTGCAATTTTGCACATGCTAGACCCTTGTTCTTTTTATTTTGCACACGCTTGGCCCTTGTTCTTTTTATTTTGCACACGCTAGGCCCTTGTTTTTGCACTTTTGCACACGCTAGGCCCTTGTTCTTTTTATTTTGCACACGCTAGGCCCTTGTTCTTGCTATTTTGCACACCCTATGCCCTTGTTCTTTTTATTTTGCACACGCTAGGCCCTTGTTGTTGCAATTTTGCACATGCTAGACCCTTGTTCTTTTTATTTTGCACACGCTAGGCGCTTGTTCTTTTTAGTTTGCACACGCTAGGCCCTTGTTCTTTTTATTTTGCACACGCTAGGCCCTTGTTCTTTTTATTTTGCATACGCTAGGCTTTTGTTCTTTTTATTTTGCATACGCTAGGCCCTTGTTCTTTTTATTTTGCACACGCTAGGCCCTTGTTCTTTTTTTTTTTGCACACGCTAGGCCCTTGTTCTTGCTATTTTGCACACGCTATGCCCTTGTTCTTTTTATTTTGCACACGCTAGGCCCTTGTTCTTGCAATTTTGCACATGCTAGACCCTTGTTCTTTTTTTTTTTGCACAAGCTAGGCCCTTGTTCTTTTTATTTTGCACACGCTAGGCCCTTGTTCTTTTTATTTTGCATACACTAGGCCCTTGTTCTTTTTATTTAGCACACGCTAGGCCCTTGTTCTTTTTATTTTGCATACGCTAGGCCCTTGTTCTTTTTATTTTGCACACGCTAGGCCCTTGTTCTTGCAATTTTGCACACGCTAGGCCCTTGTTCTTTCAATTTTGCACA